GCTGCTACAGCCCCGGGGCCGAGGCTTTCGGCTGGCCCACAGCTTCGAGGTAGCTCTTCTAGGAGCTCGTCGTCGGGCACCAAACGCTGGTCCGAGAATTGAAAAACCTGCTTTTCAAACTCCGTTCAAAACTGCTGGGTGACTTCGCGCAGGTCACTTCTCTTTCCTGTGCATCTGTTTCCTCTCCTGCCTCTTCTCGAGATAGGTCGTGAGCTATTTCTGGCAGGGGTGTGGGTAGTGCCCAACCCAACAGGGCCCTGATCTCAGCTGGGGCAGGGACTGTCTCTCGCTGTGTCTGTGCAGCACCTGGCACAACGGGGCCCTGATCTCAGCTGGGGCAGGGTCTGTACCCAGCAGCGCAAGCACCCACTCACAGCCATGTGTCACGCACCAGTGCAAGCAGCCACACCAACACAACACAGGCACATTTGGGAGAGTCGGTGAGAATCTCCCCTCCCAGCGCAGGGGGACCCCGGGTCACAGAGCAGACACCCCCCTTGTGCCACAGCAGGGACTGTGCCCCGCACAACGGTACCATGGTCCCTAGGTTCGACTGTACTACACTTCATGCGTATTAACAATGTTAACAGGCTTGTAAATTGGAAGTTGTCAACAGCCGGGCGGCAGACACGCTCCCTTGAGCGACCGGCCCAGGTGCAGGGAGGAACCTGAGAACGGGAAATGTCAGATCCTTCAGCTCTGCGCTGAGTAAGGTGATCTGCCAGGCTGTGTAATTACTGCTGGACGGGCGGGGGCCGGGAGGAAGCCCTTAAGCGCTGGCGGTGATCCGGGAACTTGCGGCTCCAAGCCAGGTTCTGACAGAGGGATGCTCAGAGCAAGGCCCCAGGAACCGAAACGGCTGGTCCAGCTGCCCCCGTAACGCAGGGCGGGGTCGTGATTTCCTGCCCCACGGATCGAACTGCATCAATGCTGAGTCCTGCGCCTGGCCCATGGAAACATTCACTGCCAGTCTGAGCCCATAGACAGAGCCCCCCCATGCCAGCCCCCTCCATCTCACTGTAATAAAACAGGTCGGGCCTAGGCATCGCTCAGGGCGAATTGCTGAAAACCAAGGCTGCTTACAGCCCCAGACTGGAAACCTTCCCTAAATAGTCCACACACCAGTCCCACCGAGCGCTCCAGCTGCCAATCCGGCCAGCAGGAAGCCTCACGAGCAAAACCCCTCAGACACGCCAGCTCTCCCTGTGCCACAATCAGCCCCAGGCCTTACTCACAGGTGAGGGGTTATAGAACCCAATCTCACCTACCCAAAATGGGTCCTCCCCGTCCCTAAGAACCAGCCACAAATCCCCGGTCAGTTTACTCTTTGGATCTTATCCAGCCAAGGCAGCAGTGAACCCAGCGTGAAGAGCCAGGGCAAAACTGTCAAAAAAGAAAAAAAAAATAAAGACGTCGTCCCCTTTAAGAAAACAGCTTTAAGTCCTCCAGGGCCAGACTAGGGACAGCAAGACGGGAGCCGTTGAGCACTAAGACCCAGTTCTTTAGGCTTTTTGCCAGCGGCTCTTTTGTTTTCTTCATGGAGCTGGAACGCAGCTTCCCTACGGACCCAGGTAAGCGGGGGAGGGAGGGGTGGAGATGGGGGGCCCTAGGGGCTGGGCCCAGTTGCTGAGGGTGTAGGGTTGACGAGTATCCAGTATTTTTGCCTCCTGGCTAGGAAAAAAAAAATCAGAAGATACAGGACTTTCTAGGTGTCTGGTATTTTCTGAAGTTTTTTATCGCACAGGAGGCGAAAATACCAGACTGTCCGGGTCAATACTGGACACCTGCTGGCCCCCGAGAGGTCATCGAGTCCAGTCCCCTGCCCTCACAGCAGGACCCAGCACCAGCCAGCCCATCCCTGACAGGTGCGTGTCCAACCTGCTCTTGAATATCTCCAGAGATGGCGATTCCACAACCCCCCCAGGGAATTTAGTCCGGTGTTTCACCACCCGGACAGGCGGGATGTTTTTATTAATGTCCAGCCTGAACCTCCTGTCACGGGGCCGACTCACCACCACGGCGCCTCCGGCGGGTTGCTCTGGAAATTAGCTGGTTGACTCGCTGGACGCCTCCCCCCAGCTGGGGTCTCCCCGTGTCTCTTCAGGACACGACCCTCCGGCAGTGCCCACACCAGAGTCTGAGCCCTACTTTCGGGGGTGGCTGTTTATCCTGCGTGCACTCCAGGGTCCTCCCCTCCCTAGGGGCACCCAGTTCTCCTGTCCCCACCTTGCCTCAGAGACCCACGGCCAGTCAGGGAATTTAGTCCGGTGTTTCACCACCCGGACAGGCGGGATGTTTTTATTAATGTCCAGCCTGAACCTCCTGTCACGGGGCCGACTCACCACCACGGCGCCTCCGGCGGGTTGCTCTGGAAATTAGCTGGTTGACTCGCTGGACGCCTCCCCCCAGCTGGGGTCTCCCCGTGTCTCTTCAGGACACGACCCTCCGGCAGTGCCCACACCAGAGTCTGAGCCCTACTTTCGGGGGTGGCTGTTTATCCTGCGTGCACTCCAGGGTCCTCCCCTCCCTAGGGGCACCCAGTTCTCCTGTCCCCACCTTGCCTCAGAGACCCACGGCCAGTCTCCATCTAGGCCCTGCCTCTGGGGCAAACTGCCGCCTGTAATGGCCACTCAGCACTGGCAAAGGGGGTTGACCTGCTGCCCCTGCCTAGCATGGCTGCCTCTCTACAGCCCCAGTAGCTTCAGGCCCTATAGCCTGGGGGCTTGTCCAGACCCTCCTGTCTTCCACAGCCCTGCTCTACCACACTGCTAATCCTGCTTCCCTGGCAGCCAGGTCCCTACTGCTCTATGTCCAGAGCAGCAGTGAGTTCCACCTCTCCCTCCAGGAGCCCTTCTTTATATCACCCCCAGCTGGGCCCTCATTAGCCAGAACTGCCTCCCCTGGGGCTTTGCTCTCAGCCTTGCTCACAGCTGGGAATTTGCCCTTAAAGGATCAGTGCAGAGCAAACACCGTCACACTCCCTGGCTGCAGTTTCAGCCCCTTGCTGCTTGCCCTGTCCTCAGAGGCCCAGGAGAACCGTTTGTCTCCCTCCTCCTTGTGACACCCATGTTGGTACTTGAAATCCGCTCTCATGTCCCCTCTTGGTCTTCTCCTTTCCAAATGAAACAAGCCCAATTCCTTCAGCCTCCCCGCACAGCTACGCTGACCACACGACTTGGAAAATCAGGGACAGTCCCGAATTTCAATCTTCTGTCCCGGTGCCCTGTAAATGCCCCGGAAAGGAGAGCGCAGCTAGAAGCGGCTGCAGGCTGCTGTTTCTCCCCCTCCGCCCTCTTCCAGGGGAACGCACATGTGCCAGGACCTCCTGACGGGTTTTCCCCACTGCTCTGGAGCCAGCCAATAGGAGCAGCGGGAGGCAGGGCCTGATCCTGGCCCTCTGCTGCTCTGTGCTCAAACCAGGATCAGTGGATTCTCAGCTCGGCTGGCACCCTCCTGGGCGGCTTTGCCTTTTAAAGCGAAGGAGACCTGCATGGGCCTTCCTAGGGTTAAAGGGCAGAGCGGCAGCAGGAGCGGGAGCTGGGAATCAGCTGATTCCCGGTCTGGATGCCGCTTTGCCCTTTGAACTTAGCAAGAGCCACGTGGGTCATCTTAGATTTAAAAGGCAGAGCTGTGCAGGGCAGCCTCAGCTCAGACTCCCAGGTACTAGCTGAGCTGCTCCTGCACCCTCCCCCTGGCCAGACCTACCACCAGCACCCTACTCCCTTCCCCTGGCCAGACCCCCACCAGCACCCTGCTCCTTGGCCAGATGCCCACCTGCACCCTGGCCAGACCATCACCAGCACCCTGCTCTCTGGCCAGATGCCCACCTATGACTACTGTGATGTCTACACTGGCCCTTTTCGGGAACAGTTTTTCCAGAAAAGGACTTCTGCCCGAACGGGAGCAGCATAGTTTTTCCAGAAAAACAATGACGATTTTACATTAGATTGTCATTGCTTTTCTGGAAAAGCAAGCGGCCAGTGTAGACAGCTGGCAAGTTATTCCGGAAAAGCGGCTGCTTTTCTGGAATAAGAGGCCAGTGTAGACACAGCCTATGGGTTTATGAGATGCAATCCTATTCCGGGCACATCCCATTTTCTTGGCACAATCAAACCTTGTGTTGCTTTACGTTATGATGAGAGGAAGCTATATTCCGGATTTGGTGGGCCTAGCTCTTACCGCTTTGGAGGCATTCTTGAACAAACAGACAAACTCTCTAAACTATATCGTACTATTCTCACGGGAAGCAGGCTGCCTGTCAGGTATGGAGAGTTTATTTCCCCCTCGTTCAGTCAATTGTGTGCCACCAAGCGTTCGGATCAGAACACCAGGTGGTACCAGAGCTCCACAGCGAATGGCAGAAAACATTACAAGAAAGGAAGTGAGCTCTGACCGAACGTGATTTCGCTTTCGGGGAAATGGACAGGCATAGCTGCAGTGCCTAGCTCCTGTGCTGTAGCTATTTCTGTATAAAACTCCCCCGGGAGCCTCTGTGCTAACTAAAAGCAGCTCTATTTCCAAAGCTATTCTGCTCTAGCCATGCGGGTCAGTTTTGTCCAGGCAAACGGGCCCTGAGACTTGCCTAAGTGTGCAATGATCCAAGCTGATGGGAGCGAGATTTTTGTCATGTTTTATTGGTGCTCCCTTGGAACAAACGAAGAGCAGCCAGGGACTGTCGATGTCATCAAGGGTGCCTGCCTTTCTGGACGACAGATCTAGTCCCAGGCATGTTATTTGGCTTCCGGTGGGGCGAAAGGATGAAATTCTAACGCCTGCGTGACATGGGCAGTCAGATCGAACGACCCCGTTGTCCCTGATGCCTTTAAGGCTAAGAATCAGTTGGTAGCTCACCCCATCCCCAATGAATAGTATATTTTCAGCACTTTAACCCTTTACTTAACTGGGAATCCCCAAACTCTTAAACACTGGGCCTGCCTCTTCTCCCCTGAGCTAGAGCAGACTTGCCCTTCACACACTTGGGCTATGTCTACCCTCGCGGCTTCTTGCACAAGAACATCTTGCACAAGGGTTCTTGTGCAAGAAGTCTTGCACAAGAAAATGTCCACTCTGTCATGTGCGAGGTGTGCTTTTGCACAAGAGCGCCCTTGGCAGTGTGGACGCTCTCTTGTGCAAGAAAGCTCTGGTGGCCATTTTAGCCATAGGGGTTTCGTGCGCAAGAAATCCCTGCTGGGTGTCCACACTGCCCTCTTGTGCAAGAGCTCCTGTGCAAGAGGGCTTACACCTGTTAGAAAAGAGCAGAGCTCTTGCGCAAGAATCACAGAACACTAGGACTGGAAGGGATCTCGCGAGGTCATCGAGTCCAGTCCCCTGCCCTCAAGGCAGGACCAAGCTCCGTCTACACCATCCCTGACAGATGTCTATCTAACCTGTTCTTAAATATCTCCAGAGAGGGAGATTCCACCACCTCCCTTGGCAATTTATTCCAATATTTGACCACCCTGACAGTTAGGAATTTTTTCCTAATGTCCAATCTAAACCTCCCCTGCTGCACTTTAAGCCCATTACTCCATGTCCTGTCCTCAGAAACCAAGAGGAACAAATTTTCACCTTCCTCCTTGTGACACCCTTTTAGATATTTGAAAACCACTATCATGTCCCCCCTTAATCTTCTTTTTTCCAAACTAAACAAGCCCAGTTCATGAAGCCTGGCTTCATAGGCTTCTCTAGACCTTTAATCATTCTTGTCACTCTTCTCTGTACCCTTTCCAATTTCTCCACATCTTTCTTGAAATGTGGCGCCCAGAACTGGACACAGTACTCCAGCTGAGGCCTAACTAGTGCAGAATAGAGCGGCAGAATGACTTCACGAGTTTTGCTTACAACACACCTGTTAATACAACCTAGAATCATATTTGCTTTTTTGGCAACAGCATCACACTGTTGACTCATATTCAACTTGTGGTCCACTATGACCCCTAGATCCCTTTCCGCCATGCTCCTTCCTAGACAGTCGCTTCCCATCTTGTATGTATGGAACTGATTGTTCCTTCCTAAGTGGAGCACTCTGCATTTCTCCTTATTAAACCTCATCCTGTTTACCTCCGACCATTTCTCTAACTTGCTAAGGTCATTTTGAATTATGTCCCTATCCTCCAAAGAAGTTGCAACCCCACCCAGTTTGGTATCATCTGCAAACTTAATAAGAGTACTCTCTATCCCAATATCTACATCATTGATGAAGATATTGAACAGTACGGGTCCCAAAACAGACCCTTGAGGAACTCCACTTGTTATCCCTTTCCAGCAGGATTTAGAACCGTTAACAACAACTCTCTGACTACGGTTATCCAGCCAATTATGCACCCACCTTATCGTGGCCCTATCTAAGTTATATTTGCCTAGTTTATCAATAAGAATATCATGCGAGACCGTATCAAATGCCTTACTAAAGTCTAGGTATATGACATCCACCGCTTCTCCCTTATCCACAAGGCTCGTTATCTTATCAAAGAAAGCTATCAGATTAGTTTGGCATGACTTGTTCTTCACAAACCCATGCTGGCTATTCCCTATCACTTTATTACCTTCCAAGTGTTTGCATATGATTTCC